GATCACTTTTATGATACAAAAAATGGTCACATATTAAATTTCAATCCTTTATTGTGACAATACCAAATGCAAAGCTGTCTTCAAGAACAATAACTATTATCCTTGTCTTGGTAATGCTTGTCTGCAGAAGGAAGAAAGAATATACAACATAATCCTACAAATATTTATGATGGTATAACAGATCCATAACCTTCTTCTACAGATCGGCTAATTCCATTCTTGCGGTAGAATTCCAAGCGTACCAACCCAACCTTTGCATGATCTCTAGTCATTTTATCTACATGGAGTTGTAAGTGTCTTCCATATTCTGAGTTGCTTAATAATGCCACTGGTCTGGAGATTTCCTACAATAAAAACACATTAACAGCTTTAATATAAAAACAATAAAAAAACATCATGAATGCATTTCAAGCTATTGGAATCTGTCTTACTAGTAAACCTGTTCTCTATCAATCCATTATAACTTATTTGAAAACTATTAGTACTTATACAATATTTATGTGGTTGTATTTTTTTTAAACTTAGTGTAACAGATTAACACACTAACATATTACAGCAACAGATTATGGAATATAAGTGTACATTTCTTAATAATTTCTTAAGTAATACACCCCTTCATTTACATGCTACAATTCCTTATAAATAAAGACACATATCTATTCTACATTCCAATAGAACACTGTAAATAACCTCTTGCATTTTATCTACACAAAATATTCTTCGACTTATTAGCATTATACAAATGCATCACTATTTTTACGCATACAATACTTTGAAATTACATATTCATATGCAACAAAAGTAACACATTATATGAAAGTTTTATTCAATATTTATCTAATACCACACCAGTGTGGTTGAGGAAAAGTCACCAGTGCTGTGTTCATCATTGTTTTGCTATGGGATATGAGAAGCGTACCGCACTTAAAATGAGCTCGTGTGGAGGAAGTATGATGAGCAGTTCCAGCAGTGGCTCATGGAGAACCCGGGTACAAGGTGGGGCCAGAAAGACCTATCACTGTGCTTGAAGATGATGGTGGTGCAGAAGGCGCCACCCTTTCAGCAAGTGGCCGGCACAAGGGGGCAGTCCACCTCATCAGCCGTCTTCCAAAAGAGCTTAAGCTGGCTCTTTAATGGGGGTCAGTGAAAGTGTGCATCTGCGTGTCATTACAAGCATGAGTGCTCGGGTTGTGGGGGTGCCCACGGCCCTAACAGGTGTTTCAAGAGAGGGCAAAACCCAAGTGAAGTCATACGCGATGGTGCCATGGCTAAACCGATACAGTAACAAGGCTGATGCTACAGTAACAAGGCTGAGCTGTTGCGGTTGGGTTTCGAGTCGGGTTTATTCATTCCCATCCGGGACAGGGGCGGTTCACGTGGCCCGGTGTATTCTTCAGTCTGTCTTCACCTGTTGAGGACCATTAAATGGGTGGCAGGACAGCTTGGTGGGCCATTTAAGGCGGGTAAAACGGAAGGTCCGATGGAATGTTGCATTTTTCTGGTTTACTCTTTCGTTGTTGGCTAGGAACGTATCCCCGGCGGTGATGGATAGGCATATGGCGATGCTTGCATTTTGGTTTAAGCTGCATGGGTAGGAGGATTTGACAAAGCATTTTGTGATAAGAAAGGCATTTAAGGGTTATCAGAAGGGTCCCAGTGTCCAT